TTGTTGGTATGATCCCCTCTTCATTAGTATTTGATATGGATTTTTGTTGAAGCCAATTTAAAGCTACCTCACTACACATTAATAGTGAGCTCTTTGACACATTTTTGAGCCAACCATATGCCATAGAAAAGGAAATCTTTCCAAAACCAATCATGACGTTCCTTAGACTCCCGAAACGGAGAAGGGCAGCAGTTGCCAGATAATGGGAGACACGTGATAAGGCCCACTAATCTATTGTGTACGGCTTATGAGTTCCATAAAAGTTTCTTTTGCAATCTCATAACTACTGCATGGGCTGAAGTATACGAAAAATGCTTAGTTACCTACCATGACGATTTTCCCACAAATATGGGTAATCAAGCTTGATCGCCAAGTGAACTCCTTTCCTCTTCTTCATGGAATTGTTATTTCTGATCGGTTTGCGGGCATCCTAAAAGTAAAATTGAAACGCTAAACCATTTTCCGCCCGAAATTCATGGATTAGATTCAAGAATTGAATTTCTTTGGTGGGTGTTGTTGTGCTTAAAAACATGCAGGGAAAAACCTCCAGGGGAAGCGTTGCTGGAGCTTTCGAAAGTGAAGCATGTGGAGCGGCTTAACAAAGAATGAGTGGTTTTCACTTTCACTATCTCCACTGGACACAGTTCTCCTCGAAAACCGCTGAGACGTTCAAAGAACACGTTTATCGCACTGATTCTCAACTGCGTATCCATCCTATCCGAGCAGAGCCAGGAGCGAAATTACGCTCATTCGCATTTTAAATCTCATGAAGTTCTCCGATTACTTTGGTATCTGGGTTTGAGATCTTATACCTGAACGGCCTGTGGCCTTCGTGTCGAAGCGGGTACGCTGAGATACGTGTAGGAGTGAAGTTTGAACTTCCAGTGCTGTGTACGGTAGCCGCCTGCCACTACTGTACCACTGGCAGAGCGTACCTGCTAACTTGGGAATTCGGGTACATGATCCACCTCCCTCTCTGATATACCTCTTCACCTACCAGCTAAGGTTAACCGATTTGTGAGAAGGCCTTTTCAGAAAGTCTTTCTGTCTGCTACAATCATGACAACATAGAGTGTAAAGGGTATGGCTGGGGACGGGTGACTGTTGACGCGCAACCTGTAACGAGCAATTGGCCCTCAACTAAATGGTAGGCTCGATAGCAAGAATCCCCCACAGTCGCTGTAGAAAATATTTTCTGGGCTCAAGCTTATTCGTTGGCCCTTGTCGTTAAGAGTTTTGTTCTTACAGCTCCTAGATGCACTAGATAGGTCAACCTTCACCTTCTCAGCATCCAAACATCTTCTGATGGAATGAATGCGTGATCGCTGCTTGGCAGAAAGCTTGGCCATCAATCACATTGTAAACCTAGTACATAATAGAGATCGACAAGCGAATGAACGAATCTGAAAAGCGACGGTGAGGGAACGCGTCGACCAGAGAGAAATGTTCGCGTCAAAGGTTAAACGTGGAGACTCCCTTGGGTGCTCACCGAGTAGAGTCCCATAAAGGTGCGGTGTTTGGAATTACAGTTAGGATCCTATTGCGGGAACCCCTCACTTCGGCGCCAAAGACACTTGAGGCATTTTTCATCAGCGCCAAGTCCCCAAAAATGAATAGGAAAGAGGAGTGCCTGGCCGTAGCTAATGAACTCGCGCCTTTCTCTGACCTCTGTGGGTTTTGTTTGCCACCAGTATCACGGCGAGAGGGATAGGGTATATCATCCAAAGCTANTAGAGGTGAGTTAAACATGTTTAGGGTTATCATGCCCGTTTGGAGACATTTAGTCTAGGGAACCGGTTTTCTGAAGTTTATTTGTTGAATGAAGGATGGATTATGATAATACACAGGTTTCCAGGCTCTGAGGAAGGCGATTACGCCGACACGTAAGTTGATAAGAACTTACTTAACATCTTGGCAACAGGTTTTAAAAAAGTCTTATAACATCAATGCAAAGCTATGCCAAGATTCATCGAGAGTCGAACATGGATGCTTTTCCCTCATAGTTTCCCCAATGAAATACCAGTAGAAATTCCTTAACATAAATCGGTTATGGTACGGTTAGGAATGAATCTGTTGCACAGACATACTGTCCTTCAAAGACAGTATTGAGAAGAGAAGCACCTTTTCCGTTGCATTTCCTGTAGCAAATGTTTAGAAGTTCTTGAGAAGACTAAATTGATACTACTCTGAACTCATATAATAATTTTTTACAGCATGTTCTTGTCATAGTTGGAGAAGACGTGGACGCTCTATGCGCTTACACTATACTTTCGGTACGTTAATTTATATCATTCAACAGCCGTTTTTCGAATAAAATCGTAGCTGACTACCTGTAAAAGAGAGCTAAAACGAAAATCCCTATTTATGGTATCGGGAAACATAAAAGACCGAGATGCTAACGATAACCACTAGGAATTGAATTGCCCGTCTTTATTACTTGGAACCGTGTAAGATAGTAAGTACAGTAAAAGTATCTTCATCATCATCGTAACCATCAACCACTATTTATTGAATATAGCCGCCTGCTGAGATCAACTATAACAATGGCGAGAATCAACCACAAAGGTGACAATAACATAAATAGGGGCACTTCTTTAGATAGTACGATCTTCGCAAACAGGAAACACTCGAATGTGATCTTCAGTAGAAAACCGGCTGAAATTATTTCAAAATCCTCATATAGAATCACGTTTGTAGCCAAAAATGGTTTACATTGAGAGGTCCGTCTTATTCATTTCATCATTGTTTTCAAACTAAAACTTTAATTGAAGTCCCTTGGAGTTCTTCCTGGCATTTGTTCTAAGGGGTGCAGAGTTAGTAACAAAAGCCCTTAGTTTTACTTAAATATATCTCAACATCTGACGGTTCACTGTGTGCCAAGTAAAGGCAGTTTCAATAAGTTGAAGATCCTAATTTCCAAGTGATTTCCAAACAGCTCGAAGTCGCCGTGATAACTGTTTATTTATTTAACGAAAATCTCAGGACCAGACAGTTCCTTTTGTCCGGACATACATCCTTATGGAAACACCTAACGGACTTGTTTCGAGTTGTTCAGGGACTCTTGGAAATCTGATGACGATATTGATGTTGATCAAACTTCAAAAATGAATACAAAGAATTTGACGCTTACCTAATTGTACGACCTTGTCGCGGTGAAAATACAGATAACTGTACAAATGGCTGTAGTTTTGAGGGAGGGAGAACGTTGTAGTTGATAACATTGACCAAATGATAGATGATACGTATAGCACATCTGCTATCGCAAATAGTACAAACATAAGATAGGGTTGCTTGTCAAATCCTCCATCCTTAAAATGAAATTACATCTTGTGTTATGAAGTTTAAGATGATCTAACCAAGACTAAAACATCCATAATTAAGGAAACAATGGGAAGTTTTAAAAACTTGAATGAAAAAAGGACACACAGAAAAAAAAGAATTCATAGCAAATAAAATGAACTTAAAACGCTTACCAAATATATTACTATAGAAATTAGCGTGAGTAGCAGTATAAACCACAAGGCGATGCATTTATGTCCAGTCAGAACAGCCATAATAAGCCATTAAGTTTCAAATATTTCTAAAGAGAACTGGACGGAGCCGGCCTTGTTTGAACGATTGAGGCGCCAGTCAACAACGCTGACGCGGAATCGGTGCGTGGCGGGTAGGCATGGAAATAACTTGCCCGTTTTTCAGAATGCAAATTAGCTGTAGAGACTTGGGAATCCGATAAGCAAATATTTGGTTGCGAGGTCCAACAGGTTCTCTGCTCTGATGTGGTCTCAGATCTCGAGAAAAACATAGTTACCCTAGTGGGCGAATTATCAAGTTGTAGGGTAACTACGTCTATACCTGATGGTGTAGGGAGATGTACCTGAATACTCATATATCTGTATACATGTTTATTATACATACTACATACCATAGAGAGTAGGGCAAAGGGGAGGGGAAAGACAGGACGAGAGGGCTTGAGTAGCCTCGACGAAGGGTGGGCGAGTAGCCTGGCGGTTAAGGTAACATCCACGACGACTCCTCCATGCCAGCAGACGGCTGCTTAAATACCTTGGCTTGTGCGTCAGCATGATGCTATCCTGATGAATGGCAATTGCAGTTTCCTCGTAGGTGGGACGGCAAGGCTGAGAAATCCTGGCGGCTGTTGCAAGCTGACGTATGGCTCAACATGTCCCCGTTTGGGAACAAGCGAGTCTTATTGGTTGCTCGCTGAAGTTTTACTCTTTTTGGGTGGTGTGTATGTTGGCTTGTACACGGTGGCTCTGTGCAAGCTTTATTAGAAAGCAGAAGAAGCCCCGTGTCAGCGGTACAACGGGTGTTTATACCCAGCCGGTGCGGGGTGACAAACAAAGGGGTTATCAAAGGACAAGGCGTCGGGAAACAGTGTACACTGTTATCAAGGGTCACAGGGGTGGCAAATAGTGTGCAGGGTTATCAAAGGTTAAAAGGTTGCGCAGAGCGAGACAAATTTCTTCCGCTGTTCCGGAAATGATCTTAGCTCGGGTTGGAGGAAAAATAGATGGGTTCTTTCAGATCTCTTCTTGTTTTCAGAACAGTTACACCGAAATATTGAAAGGGAAGCTACATGATGAGCAGTGTTTTCTTCATTGGTCTGGCCTTTTACAAACCACTAGGGTTGCCGATAGGTCACTTATAGTTAATTAGTTAATTTTTAAAGTTCAATGACATCCCCTTGGTTGTTTGAAGGTTGAGTCGGAGAGGAAGAAGGCACTATTCACCGTCTATGGTCCCATCTTGGAAATTCGAAGATTCCTCTCGATTTTTCCCATGGGAGACGAACTTGGCTAGGAAGGAAAGACCTCATAAGCATGATTATTTCACTTGTTTTGAGTAAAACACAGTTATACTTCTTTTACGCCACCATGCGCTATGTTTTTTCCAAGCAGCTCAAACTATCCATGGATGAGCAGTTTTTAACAGATGCACATCATTGCGACCATCGAAGGCTTTCAAGTCTAGTGGATTAAATGTGCTTAAGGGACCAGATTATTCCTAAGAGCAAACTTCCTGAAAATCTCCCCCGAGGGCAAAAATCCAGGGAATCTAGTCCATCACGAAGAGGAAGGACAGGGGAGGTAGTACGGAGACTTTACACACTAGTTAATATTTCAACATTTCAGCAATTGTTTATATGTGATGATGTCTCGTTTTCTGCGGTACCTGTTAATGGCTGGGACGCTTTAGATCGGACCTTCCGTGAGCACTATGATCAAAGTGAGGTGGTGCGAACAATTCTATGGTTATGCCACTGACGATATGATGATTAGCACAGTCTCAGTGTCACAAAACCCATATCTTCCATATTCAGGTCCCACGATTGTGTTGCTCAATTGCGGTGGCAATCGCTCTTTACAAGACATGCAGATACCCGAAGGCAGTAAAGTATTTATTGTCGACTCAAGACGACCGTTCCATCACGAGAATATCTTCGAGGGGCAGCAGATTATGGTTCTTGTCGATAGTGCAGAGGTTCCAAAGCTAAAGTGAGTTTATGAGCTGATCAAGACAAATCGTCTTAATTGAATTGGCCCTTGCAGTATACCAGATATGTCATCTGTGATTGAAAATGAAGAGTCCGAAGAGTCAGAAGATGAAGAGGATGAAGAACAAGGCGAAGGAACGACAAGAATGCAAAAGATCGAGCGAAGACTCTTGAAGAAGGTCGGACAATTCGGTTTCGATGGTTTTCTCAACCATTCAAAACCATTTCAAATCATTTATAGGAGGCAAAAAAGCAGTGGTTAAAACGGCGGAAAAATATTTTGTGGAAATATTATGAAAATGCTTGGTATTCCATATCGGTAGGTTATTACTAGCCTTTCGAATTTTTATTTTGACAGCTTTTTCTTTCCTGCAATTAGTTGTGTTTCCGAGAAGAGGAACCATCTCATCGAAGTTCTATGTTGCTATTTGTGCAGCCGAATGTTGACATTTTCTTCAGAGCGCGGTTAGAATGCTTGAGTTGGCTGCAGCATTGAATAAAGCTACTCCTGAATTTCTATGGGTTGCCGCTGTTGGACTAAATAGTCAGTGGACCGATAGAGTGGTACGCCTTTAGCAGTTTATTTTTCGCAAAACTAGGTTTTGATTTATTTTGAAACTCGTAACCATCTAGAAGGTTTTTTTCGTTTGCAATCACTGTCTGCCCTATGAAGTAGTATTTGACTGCTTACAGATAACCATTGAAGCGTATCATGACGTCTGCATTGATCGAATGCGTCCATTTATCCAACGGTTTTCACCTCGTAACTCGGGCGCAAAGGCTGATGATTTGCTGAGAGTTTCATTTGAGAAAGAGTGCGTTTTCAGAGATCGGTCCTTCCTTCCTTGCTATATACTTCCTCCCTGTATAGTTGTCAGTTTACGGTTTCAGGCTCCCATTGGCTATGTACTCCCACTGGTCATTGTACCGTGCAATGGCTGTCAATGAATATTTCTCATGTAAAACACGAAATTGGACTCAGAAGGGAGATTCTGAAGTAAAACATCTACTCGCTAATCTTGGGTATGGCTACTACGAGTTTGTGCTTTCTGTCGTACAGAATTTCGTCTGGAAGGTAGGGGATCTTTTTAGATTAACATTGAATGAAACCCGGCAAAAATTTGAAGCGATGAATTCGACACGTCGAAAAGAAGTTATACAAACACTTGAGAAAGAGATGACACCCTCGTTTGCCTCATTCATTGCTCATTTCGGATATTCAAGCCGGGTCTCTGCAGCTGATGTTGCAAGAGGATTAGCTGCAAGGTGAAGTGCCTTCAAATGTTGCATTTCTAGTTTTCCATCATGAATTGATTTGTTGCAGGTTAGAATCACCTCGACGAATTCCCTTAGTTGAGCGATTCGAGTCAGCTCGTGGAATTTTGCGGTGTTTTATGAAGTGCCATCAAGATTATGGTCCTCTTGTTAAGTGTTTTGATTTGTATAAGGTGAGGATGGGAATTTGAGCGTATCGCTCAGATTCTTTTCTTTTTGTTCACTCAGTATATCGAAATAAGCTTCTACTTAAGATGGGTCTTGAATCTGTGTGGTCTCTCGTAGCAGCCGCTGTTAATCAACAGGAAATCCTGCCTATTGGACCATTTTTCCTGCACACTTCGACGAATCCTTGTGGTGGGCTTTTTTATTCAGCTTCTTTACGTTGTCATCCATTTCTAAAAAGATGGACCTTTGCTACTTACGTACCTGACAATTTCTTTTCTCAGATGAAATAATGGACTCACGACATTTCCTTTTTCTTTTCACGACGTTCCTACAACGTGCATTCTGCTCCGTTCGGAGGAGTCGTGACAGGACTACTAAACCCTTCGTAGTGAGCCAGGCGTTGGCAGGAGATATGCAAGGATGGCATATTGTAACCGGTGTGATGCCTTTGGACACTGTCTACACAGACGCACAGTTAATGAGGTGAAGACTAGTTGTAAAATCAAGAAATAGGAAAAACATTTTCGATCACAATTCTAATTCTCAAAGAGTCATTTATACGTTGATAACCACCTCCAATAACTCGTTCTCTATCGAATAGCAGGGTTATAGTGGTTTTCTGACGTGGAATCGGCGAATAATACCCTTCCAAGTATTTTTTTTCAGTTTCATGGGCCGAGCATTCGAGAGAGCTGCGGAACAAGCACATTTGGATGTTCGACGAGACAACTTCGATCCTAACGGTAACTTTTTTTTTGGCTTCTCCGTGGTTTCAGTTCTTTAGCATTTCTAAAACACTTACTTTTTAGTAGTGTTAGTACGATCAGAAGACCGTTCACGTTTCTTCGACTTATTACAAGCCGTCATGGAAATTGAATCATAACAAAAGCGTTTCTATGTAATACACATACGGATTAAATTCTGCCAAAGCAATTCTAGCGCGTTTTGTTATCTATCAAAATTGTACATGTTGTGATAAGATACATTAAAATAATTCTTTCGGCCACGTCGTGCAGGTGAAATTGAATATGAAACAATATTCGTAAAAAATAAATATTCAAAAAATAAATAAACATTGGCATCAACATAGAGTTCCGCTGTTAGAGGAGATTGCACTACTTATATTAGTGTTTAAGGAAACTTCGTAACTAATCAAAGCAGATTTTGAAGCACATTTTAGATTGGCCGGTTAGACGAAACGTGAAATTGTTTGACCTTTTGAGCAGATGGATGGTTTATTCTGTTACTGGAACTTATTTGAACGCTCTTGAAAAGCACTGGAGAATGGTTGGAAGTAGCATGAAAGAAATCGAGCACCTGAAGTTGAATGGTTGAACAGATCAGAGCATTGAATCTATGCAAATGGTTTATCTGAGTATAGTAGTTTGAATCATGCAAAATAATGCACAAATTCAGAGCAGATCGAAGTGGCTTGAGGCGTTGTCACTTGAATGACCTAAAAGCCATGTTCAAGGTAGTCTATGCGAATTATTCTTACTACCAAAAAGCCTTCTAAAGCAAAGTAAAAATAACATTTTGAATAGGAGTTAAAAAGTCCACATACTTTGAAAGATAATGCCCAATGGACTTTGGCGAATCGTTACTGCTCAAATCGTTTGTACTCCATGCAATCAGGCGGTCTTACTTCTGTTCGCTTCTTACTGATCTCTGCCCAGTTTGTAGACAGAACGGTACCACCAGATTCTCTTCAATCAAATGCATTAAGAGCATAAAAAAGAACGAGAACTTTTGCCACATTTCTTTCACAAGCAAAGTTGAAGCGGGGTGGAGGAGTGGAATGGCTGGATCGTCAAAATAGTAGGGCAAGGCAATGTTTGCGTTTGAAGGGACTGGGCTATGATGAGAATATATGATAAGTATCTAAGGAGGCGAACATTTCTTTCAACTGATCTAAAGACTGGCGATTAGAAACCTACTGATAACTCTTGATCATGGCCTTCTTCACGTCATCGGATGCCTCACTGTACAGCTTGCGGAACAGGCGATTGACGGCTGCATCACCTTCCAAATCTTCATTTTCTTCTTCCTGTACCACAGTCTGAAAAAAGTCTATGTGACGAGTGTCACTTGAGGGAGTTGGCTACGATCAAGAAACGCCTTCCTCAACGCGACCACGCAAAAACCGATGAACTAGAGCAGACGCGAAAGAGGATGTACTATAACTACGGCAAGCAAGCAGAGATATACACCAAATGACTAAATAGAGAACCCCATATCAATTTCAAATGAAATGGATAATGACGTAAAAAGGATCGTAGTGAGGTTTTTGGTTTGTACAGTGCCCTGCGGTGGCCAGCCGCCAGACGAGCCTGGTACCAAACAACGGACCCCGGAGGGTAGGAAAGTTTGTCTGGCCTGAACGAATACCAATCCAGAATTCACACCAAAACTATGGGGATGCGTGTACGAGTGTATAGACTCAAATAAAAGGAAATGGTATGACCGAGTAACAGGATCAGCCTAAATTGTACATATGAAACATCTAGAGGAATGGGAGACAGGATGATAGTAATGGAATGGGCCGGATAAAATGATTTTAATCTCATTCATTCCCTTAACTTCACTTACCCTTTCGATAGCCTCCCAGTTCTTCGTAGGGTGTGGTGGTTCACTTGCCGCTGGCACAGCAGATGAGGCCCCAAGCATTGGCCAGTGCCCTGGCGTGGCTTTGGGCATTCTAACTTCAATCTGGAATTCGAGTTATTTCAAGAGTATTCCACAATTTCTGTGATAATATTTCTCAAACATCACAAGTGTTAAACACAAAACAAGTTATATTAACAGCAGAATCAATTTCTGTGGATCAGCAGTATCGCGTTTTTCTAGGCACTGCGCACAAGTACCTCTGAGGGTTATACTATGTGCGCTATCACTCGGCCTTTTGATGTCATCACTTCCACAGGAACCGAACCTGCACATTTCTGACGAAAGCCTAATTGGCTAGCCACTCCGCCACTTGGCACGCACACACCACAATCCTGCGCGGGTTACATGATCCACAATAGAAGCACCCATACAGACTTCAAGCATAAGTATCATACTTTCATCTTTGATTTGAAGAAGCGGAAACGGTATTGTTCAGAACATTGAAATATATTTAATCGTGGAAAGCTCCAAATCGAAAGTCTCAAGAGATTTCGGTGATTCATTGTACCTTAGAAGGCGTACAAGTAACTGTGAAGTTCTTCTCATCCACAGGCCTTGCCAGGGTTGTTTCAAAAATCACTTCATCTCCAACAAAGACTTTGATTTCGTTGTCATGGAAAGCAACTCTAAAATATGAAATTTTGCCTTAGTTGCACACTTATTTCGGCTTTAATAAATGATTACCGGCAATCACTTAAGGCCACTCCTTTTTTCAATATAGTTATTGTTATGCAGGAATCGGTTTGAAACCAATCATACCTTCAAGATCCATAAGTTAGGAAAAATGCTAAAAAGATAGAACAATCAAAAATAAATCGTCTTCCGGCAAACGCCTGACTAGCCCTCTAATTTCAGCTCTTAGCTTGATCAAAGCTTCCGATTCCTATAAGTTACTCGAACTGATAATTGGAAGGATGATGAACCTCGGTTTCGCAGCCATATCGATGCCCAGACGGACACAGAAGTCTGCTGGAAGATGCACACATCTTGACAAATCCATTATGTATCGGTTACGTATGATAGATAAGGAAGAAGATGTAATAAGTGGGAACGTACCAAGTAGATTGCACAAGATAAGCCCACACCATAAAGTTTTATTCAATACTGTGTTATAAACATCGTTAAAAGCTTTATTAAATAGGAAAAGGAGGTTGATTCTGGAACATCGAGTAAAAAATAAGTTCAAGAGAAAAAAGACAAAACCAACTACATTTCAGTATACTCGTTGTTTTTTCAAGAAAACAATGAAAAGTTATAACAGCTTAATTATTGAGACTACAGAGCACCAAGGTGATCTTTGACCTGTTGCTTTGTAAGACGTTGGAAACCCTTTGCGTTGCAAATAGCGACCTGAAAAAAGAAATTTGTCGTAAAAAACATAAAAATCTAGGTGTTCAACACCAATATCAAAAAATTACGCAAACAATGAGCAATCCATTGCTCTCAATGCTATTGCTCTGTCTTATAGCAATTAATGTGAGGTAGCGACTCTTGCAATTTTTCTTTAAACTTCCATCTAGGCACTATGGATCCGAGCTCAAAGAAAAACTCCGTACACTTGAACACTCCGAACACTGGTAGCAGGTGGTTAGTTTTGCATAGATCTTCATAAGTACTGCAACATAGGTGACCCGAAGCGTGCCCAGGAAGTGAAATGCTCTCGGTCCGAATGCTTTCAACAAACAAAACTGTAGGCAATATCCTAGAAAAAAGTTCGCACCAAAATGAAGCTAAAACAGTACCTCTACATTATCTTCCGTCATTCCAACATCAAATGATTCCCGTAAAGTGAGTAGTGCTGTATGGATACCATCGTCAAGCTCGAGAGCCTCGCTATACCTTTTTTCCAGGAATGTTTTGGCATTTACGTCGTTTTTTCCAAGAGCTGTTGCTTTCCATGCAAAGTATGCACCCTAAATATAGAACTAATGGAGTGCTTCAAACCAATCCAAACATCACAACAACAGTTGGCACTCGAAACAGACAAGACAGTATTTGAGTAAATCACTACTTACAGAAGGATCGCTTTGGAAAAGAAGTGGTCGGCCAGGGGTTTTATCCCATCCAGCAATCAAGAGGGACACACCGAAAGGACGTACACCTCTGCAATTGTCAAATACCTTAAAAACAATTAGCCTGTAAGCTAAATATGTCCGTTCTCGTACCCGGATTGCGTATATTCTTGCATAACGGCAGCAATCTGCGTTACCAGCTGAGTGGTAGGGATTTCTTCTCCATACATCATTTCATATTCCATGGCTATTTTTCGGGCTCGTTTAACGAGAATGCGGAAATCTGGTCCCATTCCGCTGAAAATAGAAGACTAGAGGGCTAATTGCCTCCACTTATTTCGAAGAGTAGAAGCTATGAAAAGAAAACATAATGAGTTAAACCTGTAGACACATCCGATGTGCTTGCTAATCTTTTCGATTTTCGGCTGGTCTTCAAACAATACAGAGGCAATGTTTTCGGTTGACAACACTACACCATCCTTCGCTGAAAGTCAAGTATCTCCTTTGTCTTCAGTCATAATGCTTCGTTGAGGAGTCCTCACGCTATGAGCTACCTACTTTCATAAGATATGAGTGGTAAAGGTGAAACTTTCAAAAAAAAAAAAAAAAAAAAAAAAAAAAAAAAAAAAAAAAAAAAAAAAAA